GGCTCATGGGACTCCAAAATGTGCGCGCGCAGCGCCGGGGTGGGCGGTTAAGGGGATGGTCACGTGATGGGTGACCGTTGCCGCGGTGTTCGGGGGCGCGCTGCGGGAACGGCCGCGGCCTGTCAAGTCTGCCTCGTCTTTGCAGCCAACTGCAGTGGATGGCCCCCTTTTTTCCACAGTTCCCTGCCTGATGTGCAGATTGCCCTTCAGACCGCCTGCCCTCCTCAGCTGTGGCTCTCCCCTGGGGTCACACTTCCCTCTTAAAGCTCCAACGGCTGCCCGGCTCCCTACCCCCTTTCCCTCAGGGACAGCTATTCCTGCCCCCCACCCTGGTGCTTTGCCCTGGCCGAGAAATCCTCCCTCCCCAACTGGGTTACCCATCTCTATCCATGTCATTTACCTTTCCTCATCAAACTGTCCAAGCTTAATCCCTGCAGAAGCCTTCTCTCTGCCCTGAACCTGCTCCACTTGGCACTGTACATAAAGCTCCATTTCCCTTGCAGAGATCTCTCTTAAATGGCTCCCTTGGGCCTTAACCCATCACACAGCACTCCACCACCATTTCGCCAATTCCAGGCTTCATCTGTGCCCATATCTCTCCCGCTGTGCCAGAAAACAGAACCAAAACAAATAGTTAACACTGAGCTTAAAAAGACCGTTTAACATGTTCCCAAAGACTTTGTACTTCAGCCTCTCCTACCTGGTCTCCCAGGGAGGATTCCAGGTTTCTGTCCAGCTATACATTCAATTCCCAGGGTGGGAAGCTACAGAATATTTGTTACTAAATTTTAGGTATTGTAAACTGGGGATCATCTGCAGGGTTGGAAACATCTGGGGCAGTGAGTATGGGAATCTATTATTGCATTATCTGGGGAATCTGAGACCAGTAGTCAGAAAAGAAGATGCAGTTATAGATCTGTAATAGTGATAGTGCACAGCATATTGTTTATTCTTTATAGTAGGCATCTCAATACAGAGCAAGATTAATTCAAACCCTATCCCTGAGAACATTGCTATACAATGTTCCTAACCGTAAAATCTTAACCTAATTTTAATAGTTAAAAACACTCAAAGTTTATGAAGGTATTTCATTATTTTCACTTTGATGCACTGCTTAATAATAATTTTTATATTTTAAAAATTTATGTGTTTACAGTGCTTAGTACATTGGAGCTTAATCTACATTTGGTTCCCTAGACTATGCTACAAATTGTAAAAAATCTACTTTGCACAGTCAATAACAGCTTTAACTTTAATCCAATTTTTTTTCAATGTTTATACCAACACTATAAATATTGTTATCGGCATTGTTAACAATTTGGGCTGAAAACTTCCATGTATGGTGTCTGTGTTAGGCTGAAAATTTTATGAGACTTTATGTTTCAGCCAAAATGTGTCAGCCATATTTGAAAACATAATTAAGCAAAAAACTTGTGAGGCTGCTTGAATTACAGGGAAGAAGCTGAAAAAATGGGGATGTCCAGGTGATATTTTTTTGAGATTTTCCAGTCCTAAGACCAAGACAGGCCAAAAATACTAGACATTAGCCTGTGGTTGCTCCACTAATGTGAGACTGAAGATGTACTTTGAGTGGAGCAGGTGATGGGAGGCTGTACTTCTGCATTAGCTTGTATCTCACAATTAGAATTGTTCTTTGTTGAAGACAAATTGGAGCAGGTAGGGCCATCTTAAACTAATACAGTGAAGAAGGGAAGGCTGAAAAGGCAAATGGAATATAAACTTTGTTTCAAAAAAGTTGAAATTGAGATAATGTGGAAGGGAAATACGAAGACAGTTTTTCAGTTGTGAAGAATTTAAAAACGAACTCTTTTCCAGTATGTAATTACCAAGGAGAAATCTTTACAGCATGTATTAAGTATAAATATTTTAATGCTAATATAAATCATTAAGTCAGACATTGGTTTTAGGCAAAATGATGAGGAAGAAAGCTATGGGTGATTCAGTGATAAAAGACTAAAGAATGAAGGTATAGGTAATACTCCTAAAAAAGAATGAGGGAAATAGTTTTCTCAAAGAAACCTAAATTTCATTTTTGAGTTTATATTAGAATTTGAGTTAAGAAATAAAACAGTATAAAGGCAATACTGCTTAGATTTTTGTAATATATTTGTCTCAGTACTGTAGAGAATTCTAAGTAAACATAGAGAAAAGCATATAGTAAATGGACTAAGGGCTGACCGCCTGGCAGCTCTCCAAAAGTATTTGTCAAATTTGAATTGGGAAACTTTTCAGCATATTTGTACAGTAATTTGTGCTTGGCCCTAGACTGTACTGTTACCAATAATTTGGAAACAGATTTTGAATGGTTTCTATTTAAATATGCCCTTGACACAAGTATTGGCAGAGTTGTAAATAACAACAACAACATGGCCATCACTCACGTCATTCTGATAATTAGTCTCTTAAAACAAAGTTTGTTTTAAAATTAAACTGAAACTGAACTAAAAACTTGAGTTCAAGTTGTTATTTTTTTCTTCAACCAGCACTGAGCCTGAATTATTACTTTGAAGTCTTTTTTGAACCCAAACTCAAGCTGAACCAAAATTTCCACTTACTAGTGGAACTTAATAGTTACAGTAACTCTTAAAAACACTCTGCCTACTACTATAACATAAATCTAGGTGGGACAGAAGAATAAGCAGGGAATGCTTTTGGTGCAGACAAAGATGAAGAGTGATGTGAATGTGAGGAGGGGGAGAACAGGAATAGGTTGGCTGGAGAATCCCAGAAAAGACAAGAGCCTGGCATCCATTTTAGAGATCATTTGGGCAAACTTGACATCCTCAAATCCATGGGCCCCGATGGGATGCACCCACGAGTGCCAAGGGAGCTGGCAGATGTCATTGCTAGGCCACTCTCCATCATCCTTGAAAGGTCATGGAGAACGGGAGAGGTGCCTGAGGACTGGAAGAAAGCCAGTGTCACCCCAGTCTTCCAAAAGGGCAAGAAGGAGGAGCCAGAGAACTACAGGCCTGTCAGCCTCCCCTCCATCCCTGGAAAGAGGATGGAACAGCTCCTCCTGGATGCCATCTCCAAGCACGTGGAGGACAAGAAGGTGATCGGGAGTAGTCAGCATGGATTCACCAAAGGGAAATCATGCTTGACCAATCAGATAGTCTTCTATGATGGAATGAATGGCTGGGTAGATGAGGGCAGAGCAGTGGATGTTGTCTCCCTGGACTTCAGCAAGGCTTTGGACACTGTCTCCCATCACATCCTCCTAGGTAAGCTCAGGAAGTACAGGTTAGATGAATGGACGGTGAGGTGGATTGAGAACTGGCTGGATGGCCGAGCTCAGAGGGTTGTGGTGAATGGCGCAGAGTCAAGTTGGAGGCCTGTAGCTAGTGGTGTCTCCCAGGGGTCAGTCCTGGGTCCAGTCTTGTTGAAGGTATTCATCGATGACCTGGATGAAGGCACAGAGTGCACTCTCAGCAAGTTTGCTGATGATGCAAAACTGGGAGGAGTGGAAGTTGACCATGAGCCAGCAATGCGCCCTTGTGGGCAAGAAGGCCAATGGTATCCCGGGTTATATTAGGAGGAGCATTGCCAGCAGGTCGAGGGAGGTAATCCTGCCCCTCTCCTCAGTCCTGGGGAGGCCTCACCTGCAGTACTGTGTCCAGTTCTGGGCTCCCCGGTACAAGAGAGACCTGGAGCTCCTGGAGAGAGTGCAGCGGAGGGCTACTAAGATGATGAGGGGACTGGAGCATCTGTCACATGAGGAAAGGCTGAGAGAGCTGGTCCTGCTCAGGCTGGAGACGAGAAGGCTGAGGGGGGATCTAATCGATGTGTACAAGTCTGTGAAGGGAGGGTGTCGAGAGGATGGGGCCAGACTCTTCTCCGTGGTGCCCAGAGACAGGACAAGAGGCAACGGGCAGAAACTGAACCACAGGAAGTTCCGTCTAAACCTGAGGAAAAACTTCTTGACTGTGAGGGTGACCGAGCACTGGAACAGGTTGCCCACAGAGGTTGTGGGGTCTCCATCCTTGGAGATATTTGAAAGCCATCTGGATAGGGTCATGGGCAATGTGCTTTAGGAGACCGTTCTTGAGCAGAGGGGTCGGACTAGATGATCTCCAGAGGTCCCTTCTGACCTCAACCATTCTGTGATTCTGTGATCCCAAAAGAAGTCCAGGTTAGGGGAAGCGGAAGATTTACTGTTTTCTGTTTACTGTTACATATTTACTGTTCTCTGAGATCTCCTGCTGTTGCCAAAACTCTTCTGACCTTTCTAATTAATCATTCCTAGACACTTTTCCTCTACCCATACATATTACCCCAAACTCAATATGAATCCATTCAAAACTTCTTGTATGTGCAGAATCTGTTACTGAACCCAAATTAGGAAAAATCAGTAACAGCTGAACAGAAGTGAGAACTCAAGCAAAATATGACTAGCTCAGTTCTCTAGTTTTAGCACAGCCAAATTCAAGTTGTTGATTTAGAAACAAGGAGTTCTAGACTATATCTCCCAAACGAGTGGCTGTCTCCTGAGAAGCAGTGATTTTGTAAAAGTTCTAGAATTAATGTTGGACAAACAGCTCTTTCCTAGTGAAATCCTGTGGCTGAAATGGTGAATTAAGTGGTTTTTGAGTCCCCTATGGGGCACTGGGATACCAGGCAGCAAATACTGAGTTGAATTTGGGTGCCTATGTTTAGAAAAGGATATTGAAAAATCAAGAAAGAATGCTGCAGCAAATAGACCTAAATGATTTATGGGAAAATTCCTGATAAGGCCTCCCTTGCCATATTTCTTGCAGAAATTACAAGCTGTTTGGTAGCTGTGGCAGCAGATTATAAAAAGAAAGAATGGTTAAAGAAGCTGAATAAATTTTGAAAACCTGATTTATTACTTGCCACTGTCACAAAGTTCTTGTGTGATGCTAGTCTAATCATATTTACTAAAACATTTTGTGTTCCCAATCTGAGAAATTAGGATATATTTGGAGAAATTCTGTGTACTCCCAGATAAAAGCTAAATCTTTGCTATTGTGCTTCTAACATACTGTATGCTAAAAATATAAAATAGCTTGGAAAATTAGGACCTATGTCTATCAAGTTGAGCACATAAGATTAATGAGTGTTTTGTTTTATGCTTAATCTCTTTGTGCTTTGGCTTCCATCTTTAAAATATAGTATAGTAACAGCTATTCAAGTCAGCATTGTCAAAATAATTTCACTAATACTCATGAGTCATTCAGATGATCTGATAAAAGTTAACAAAGAAACATAGGAAATCAGTAATTTTCTGTTCAGCAGAGGGTTTATAATAGAAAAGTTCTGTAGTAAGTAAGTTTTAGGACACCACTTTGAATAGAAAATATTTTTTAAAATGAACAATAACCAATGAAGCAAGATCCTGTAGAAAAAATAGTATGCAATCTTATGACTAGAGATAGTATCATAATATATAGTCAGAAGAGGAGAGGGAAACGAATGAAAATTGCATCACAAACTTGATGCTGTGACTTCTC